AAAATGCACGTCTCGAAGTCCCGAGGAGAACTTATCTCTCAAAATTCAGTAGCATTCGCGGCAGGATCTTCCTTAAAGGTCTGTGAAAACGGCAGGTGAGTGGAATCGCTGCTTAATCAGGTAATATCGAAGGTACGCGATCTTAATTGCCTGAATTGTAGTTTTTATCGTGTTAAAATATGCATAACGTGACCTGACGAATAAAAGGATTATGCAGTTAAATCATTCTTAAACGATCGTAAAGGCTAGTGAACCCGTTGAAAACGATAAGAAGTTCACGTTGGGGTTAAAATTTATGGAGATTTTCTTTCTCTCCAGGACGGTTTATTCTAAAATCGTTTCTTAAAAATGAAATATTTAAGTCTAAGTCTAAGTCTAAGTGATCATCTTCTGTCAAACGAGATACGGTAAAAAAAGAATAGTCCTGTATCGGAACTTTCCTTCCATCGGAGGACGAACTTTCCTTCTACCGAACGCAAAAAATCTGTGGTCGAAGCTTAGACTGAGGGTAAATCGAAAAGCAGGAACGAAAAGAAAAAAGCAGGAGGACGAAGTTGACCGATTCTACGTACCTCGAGGAAATTTTAGAACGGAAATCGTTTTTTCGACCAATCGTTGCGTTCTCCGTAGAGCTATTAAAACAGCTTCTGTTGCATTCGTGTTGGAAGCTCGGAGATGAAGAAAGTAAAGAAGAAAAAAAGTGAAAGAGGGATGAAAAATGAGAAACAGGCAAAAAACGAACGTTCGAGCGAAGGTGGATAGCCGGGATGACGTAACGGCCGAAAGGGATCTCTGGATCCCCTTACGATGATTGCGGTAGGCCGTAGGCTTTTCAGAGCAGCCCTTTTCCTCGAGTATCATCGTTTCCCTTGCTTCCCGCCCTCTTATCGCGCTTCCACGGTGCCCGTTTCGGCCGACGATGATGTCACGCTACCGGCTGTTCCGACGGAACCGCAGATAGGCCAGAAACTTTGCGGAATTTGATGCTATCTCCACGTTGCATGCCAAAACAGCCATATTAGCGTATATTGTAAAAATGGTTAAATTTTGACTAATAAATAAATGCAAACAAATCTTGGCATTTTTACTTTTTGTCCTGTTTAATTTTTACTTGGAATTAATTTTTGTCCTCATGGTTAAAACCGTACCAGTAAACATGAAGAAACAGCTTTAAAAAAAATAAACGAATAACGATCAATTAAAATTGCTATTGTAACAAAGAGGAGCACAACAGATGAACAACAGAGAACAAAGAGCAAGCGCAGGACGAGATCGAATTACCAAATCCACGGTGACGGTTGTTTCGAATTCATGATGCGTCAAATAACCACGCGACGAGATAACGCGTCGCGTTTTCTGCTGTTAATAGGAAACAGTGTCTGGCTGCCAGTCACTGTCTCGAGGACCGATCGAACAACCGTAATACGAATTTCCTTTGCCGCGACATGATCGAATCTGCTTATTCTCGCGAATGGAATAATGTAACGCCGGCGGAGCGTGGCCTCTCGCAGAAACGGAATATTGCGAAGCTGTTGAATTCGAACAGTACACTTCGCGATTCACACTCGGCCATCCTCTCCGTACATAACTACGTGCGTGTATGCGCGTAACGAATACACGTATGGTTGTCTATCCATCCGACCTGGCGCGGTCGCGCCGTGTGTCCGAAACTTGGAACGAGTTTCCGCTCGAAATGGCCTTGGGGGATGCTTTCCAGTAGCTCGTTTGCCACGATATTATACGAGAGGCAGAGGGTAGCGACCAATAAGACAGGTGACGATCGTAACTTCTGCTTTCCGTCGATCTCCTACTCCCTCATCGTCCCCCTAACCGTTGAAGCTTAACGCTTGAGCTTCAAACAATATTGATTCTCCTAATGAACGAATTAATTAATTCCCGAAAACTTGTTCGATCGGCCTGGATAAGCTGCGCACCTCGATAGTTTCTTAAAATCTACCCTCCTAGTCGTCCAACGTTCAACAGAGCCAACGATTAGCGAACGAAGCACAGGGAGGAAGTCGTTAACTCGAGTATGTACCTACTCGAATCGATTGGAGAGCACCGTAGAAAATTGGAGGGAAATGAAAATTGAACCGATACGTACGATCGACTAGGGGCGACACTCTGTTACCTCGCTGAAAGACGTTCTCGTAAAACGTTAACTTTCTACGCTGGTCGAAATATATTCCAGACAACGAAATTAGGGGACCGAATGTTTGACCTTTTTTCATTAATAAGGCAGATACTGTTTCAAGTATTCTCCATCCTTTCGTCAACGAATTTAAAAGAAAGTATATAAGATGTAGGATAGATGGTATACGTACGGCCATTCAGTCATTGCTGAAATTTCATTGAATTCTCCGTGCTATCGAACCACACGTATGTATTGACTTTTGATTCGCTTAAGTCGATAGTGGGCCAGGAATTAACGTAATACGCTAGAACAAAGATCGATCCCGCTCTGTAGCCGACCATAATTTTGGTCTACAAAGTATATGTATCGGCGGTAAACTATGGTAACTGTAGCCTAAGGTTAATCGTGTTGGTTCTATCGAGACGATCGGCGCTACGGGACGAGACCGCGTCGTGTAATTTCCATCGTTAACTAGCGGCTCGTTTTTCGTTATTAGAAAACTACGATCCGAGTTACCTGTTCGGAGGTAACAGGTTGTTTTAATGCAACCGCAACGTCGAAACAAGAGGGGCCAGGCATAACTGATCGCAGGGTATATCTATCGGGTCCGCCGCACTGGTCGAAGGGGTTCGCTGTTGGTTATCGTTGCCCGAAACCAGAGTAGGTGTTGTTCTACATCGGGCCGACGGTATACCGACCAGCTGTTAACCGAATGTATTGCGATCAATTTGTGAACATTCGAGATAAACGAGCTGAGCAAAGAGGTTGTTAACGTTCACGCGAAATGCTATCGATTGCTGGATCGTTCCCATATGATTTGTTATACTTTATACTTGATTGAACGCTTCGCGTTTCATTTGATCGCGAGCATCAATCGAGGCGCGGAGAGGCAAAAAATAGCACGTATATAGCACGTTGATATAGAATCGTACAAGCTGTGCATTCGAACTGGTAAAGTAACTGCTGCTAATAACGATTAACGAAATTTAATTATATAATATTAATACATATGAATGCGTGATATGAACAACGTTATATCTCTCCAAATAATTGCTGACAAACTGATAAAATAAAGAGCTCAAAGCGCGGAAGTAAATATACTGACAAGGGGTAGTAGAATAGGGCGGAAATGAGAAGAAAATTAAGAGCTAAAGTTGGATGGCAAAGAAGGAAGGTAACGTTTGAGGTGTACCGCAGTTCGAACCTTCCTGTTATCGAAGATACACACGCTCTATAAGCCCGATACCTCTACCACCTTCTCATCTGCCGATCCGGGGTAGTAACCTAGCAACACCCTCGATACCACTTAGACCTGTTCGTCTAACACCTTGCGTTTCAATTCACCTTATCTTTGCTATCTATCTCGCGCCTTACGTTCTAAACCATCTAGAATTCGGCTAAGAACTTTCTTATAAGTAGAGTAAAAGGCGTCCGGATTATCTTACGGATACGAACGCTTTGAGGTGTAATTCTCTGTTCCTGACTCGAAATTAAGTTAATTAATTTGAATATTTGGACAAACATAATCGATAACTGGATCTTATCCGGTGTTCAAGAATTAAAAGGCGAATGAATACCGTAATATGAGATATATTTATTGCATCTATCTTCGATTGGGAAACGTTTAATTGAAACGTCGAGGATATGTTCTGTCGATGCTCTCGCAACTTTCGAACTCGAAACTTCGAACACTTCCCACGTACCTATCCCGTGTAAGTACCGGGAGGAATTCACAAGAAGTTGTAGTTGTTCGTAAGCTATTGAAATTTACGAACTAAAAGGTTTCTTGCCACGCGTTTCTAGTAAACTCTCAAAGAAGACGTACCTGGAAACCGTAGCCCCGAAGGAGCAAGTGAACTTCATAAACTATCGCTTTCCACAATGTATTTTACTTATCGGGAAATCTAGTTAAAGGCGTACTTTGACTGATAACAAATTTGGAATCGCCAAAAATGTTTGACACTAACATCTGCATTGTTTGGATAAAATAAAGTAAATCATAGAAGGAGGAACAGCTCATATAGACAATAACGAGAATACAATCAGAGAAGTATGTAAAAGAAAGCATTGGAAGAAGTGATGTAAAGTATCGTAAAAAAGATCACAAAAAAGGCTAATGCAACGGACAGTTTGCAATGTAAATTATAATGAACTTCGTTGTTTATTATAATTAGGTAGCCAGGGTAGCTTTACACGGTCCTCTGGCACCAAGCCTGACGATAGAATTATTTTTCGATTCACGCCATTCTGTTCACTCTTAACCTGCCCTCTAATCACCCTCTTTATTCCACGCGATCTCGGCACGTGTACGAAACAAGTTCAAGTTACTACTAACGATAGCCTTATTTCGAACTTAACAATAAGAAAAATTTGTGGCCGAGTTCGCGGAAATTTGTAAGAGTTTTCTTAAGCAAACAACTGCGGAAGCCAAGCAAATACAGGAGAAAGTTTTCGCCGTGCACAGTTGTGTGTATATGTATGTACCTCAGAATTAGTGGAATAAGAAAGAATTGTGAAATAAAAATTCTGAAATTCGTTCCTATTAATTTATTAATCAGAATTTAATTTAATTACATTAATCGTCCATAGTTACTGGGGTGATTTTAAAACGAGTGACCACTGACTTATAGTAGCCACATCCAAGATTGTCGAAACGAGCTAAAACTGGCCAAATGGGCCGAAATAGTACCAATAGGGGCGAAATAGTATCAGTAGGGCCGTAAGTTTTTATAACAATTGAGTTTCAGTGGTGCTTTTTAATTATGACTCAAGTTGAATGAAACCGCGTTCAACTACTACCTTCGAAATAACAAATAATCATGGCACGAAACTTTCATAACTCTTGCATTATTTGTAACACACATACCTGGGAAGCACAAGCACGAGAAACCTGTTGCTTGTTGTAAGACGATCAAAGCCGGCGTTAAGGTGAAGAGTCCCCACGGATGGTAAGATCTTTCTGTAATCACGGTTCACCACATTCCATCATATATACGTAACCACGACAACGACACTTTTACGAAAACGAAATAATACTTGCGGCTGAAATCCGATCTCGTGGAGAGAAACACGACGCGAATGCGTAATACGTAACAAAATTTTTGAACAGAAGTTGTGCCAATTTGCCTTCTGTGTATACATGCATAATTATAATTCACTTCGTATGTGTATCGATATTCGATCGCAACGATAATTGATTACAATTACGCCGTCTGGTCGATTTATAGTCGAAAATTGCTGTTTAAATTTGCAAGAAGATATGAAATGCACGTGTACCTCTCTAATGTCTGCAAGAATGAAATGAATATTTATAAATAGTCTTGTTTACATAAACTCCGGTAAAAATGTTAACATTAATATTAACGAGCGGCCTACCGTGCATTGTTATTCGACCGCGCTTAAAAATTGCCATGTATATCTCGAAACTTCCTGTAAAGTGGAACTTTCAAAAGAATAATTCAACAACGAGCGTGACGAGTTATGTAATAACGCATTTATGCGGGAATGAAATGGAACCCCGCCTCGGTTGGATCGCGGAAAATTTTCAACAGACAAAACGAGGCGGTTCGCATTAGGCGCACGGCAGGTAATAGGTACGTACCATGACAATTTAAAGGGGGCACGATTTCAAACGAACCTGGCACGTTAATTAAACTTAAACTTAACTTGCTGCCCGGAACGTACAGCTGCCAAAAGTATTACCAGAACTCTGACTGCGCAATCTAAATGTGCATACAAGGGAACGCGGACGGAAATAACATATTGGTCCCATACCCACGCACGTACACATGTATAACGTGCAGGCACGTACACTGCATGTGTATAACTCACGTAATATGCACAATATTCTAGTCCTATAATAGTACCAAAGATACCCATCAACAATAATAACATGCTCACCCTATATGCATATTCATATGCATATACATACAATTTAGATAATTTACATCAATGTATGCGTATTTGTTACAAGAGCAGATGATAATTTGAACGTACATATCTAAACTTCAATCCAAATCATTTTTATTACCAGCAATATTTGTTTTTGATTAATACAATTAAATTCATTTCTTAAATATATGTTCATCGAATGCCATAAGCAACTAATAGTTTAAGCGTATACATATACATACGTAAGTCTGTATACGTTCACGCGCACAGGGCGTGCATCACGCATTATACATATGTACATAGGTAGCGAGCACTTGAGTTATAAGATTGCCATGGACACTTGCCAGGGTAATATCAAACTTCAAGGCTCCACCCTAGAGCCACCCATGCGTCCGACGGCCGCGTCTATGCGTGCACGTGTTGTATAAGCACATGCACGTACCAGACACGCACGTCGATTGCAATGGTAAGCTTCGTTATCACGCACGCCCACGTGTGAGCCTCTGGTGCGCTGCCGTAACCCCTTTATGTTCCCCAACTCCATCTCCACCCTCTCTTGACTCCCTTGTCGGGAGACTCGACTATCCTAATTAGGTGTATGCTACTGATGATGACACGAATTAATGATCGTCATTATAGGCAAATAATACTTCATATAATGCCACTTCCGCCGGAGAACGACAAACCTTATTCGTTTAACGATATTACTTTTGTTAAAGTAATCAACTCATAGAAAAATTTGCATTCAACCAATTTCTTTATCGAGTCAGACCTTCACACGGAGAGTTTGATTTCGTATAATTCTTAAGTAGTCACCTCACGAAGGATACCATCCCCGGCAGTAAAGCGTAAATGAGATTGGAAAGAAGAAAAGGGCCGCCCAAGGAAATGCGTGATTACGATAATTCAATCGAGGATCTTCGTCGTGCTGTCGCATCGACAACCGGGCAGGGAAAACCTTGCTGTCGAACAGGGGAGAGTCTTAAAGGATAGTTTGCTTATTCCGGTCACAATGTGAGTCACCGTCGACTCCGTTCATCCCTTCCCCGACGCTGCAACCATCGACGCACTGACGCTAATGCATATTCAATTACACCCATGCCCGGAATATCCAGAACGACGTCCGGGCCGTTCCCTCGGAGACCTCACCTTCACATCTTTGTCTCCGAGATGACTTTTCGAATTCTCTAACGCTTTTAATATCCCATAGCTTTAGCCGAGAACGAGAACGTTTGGTTCTTTTTTGAGAATTTATGACAAATGAAACGAACGTATTTGCCAGACTAGGCGGTAACGGTACGGTGTTCTAAATTACGTTAAGGAACACGTATTTATTGGTTCATCGATAAAACGGAATTTCTCCCGGCATTTTCCATTTTATTATTATTCTGCTCGTATTTACGATTCCTCAAGCTTTTACCGTGAACACAAAAGATTCCATCGCAATTTTTGAATAGTATTACGTCCATAGGGTGGATGATCGATTTCACCGAGCTGGATAAAACCTTTTCTCAGCATATATTCTTTCACACGTACGTGCGTATACCTACGGCCCGGCTGCTTATACGCGACTCCGACTCCTTAATATTTCCCGGCACTTCCGCGGCGAGCCATATGAATTCCGTGCGAGCTTCGATTCAAACGAATAATAAGTTTCTATTCCGGCTTGTTCTATGAAATTCCATGCTCGTGTTTTCACAGCGCGTCTATACGGTCTCGTTTCACATTTCGTCATTTGACGTATTTTTCCACCACTTTATATTTCCACGGTTGGGTTACTTTGAGGGGCTAAGTCCATTTTTCTCTCAGCGATTGGACGTTCTGCGCGGGGATTTTGTTCATCTATACCTGTTCCATCGATCTACAACAGCAACGTGTGTCTATGTTGTGATCAAGCTCTTATAAAGCATGTACTATATTCTGACATAATTTCGTCCATTATTTCTACTTCTGCGATGTGGTATTACGAAGCCGAAATACAAATAGCACGGGTAGATAAATAAGAATCGCAATAAAGTTGCGAAATGGAGGCGTAGGGCCGTTAACGTTGACGTAGTTACATCGTTAAACCGTAACTCGTGCCAAAGTCCTGCACCAACAATTGCGCTCGTCGAATGCGATCATTAATATCCTACATTTCACAATAAAACGGATCTCCTATCTGGTACTACGTAATTAAAACGAACATTTCCACTGTGTTTTCCTGGCTTGTACATAAGTAAAACATTTCTGTGGTAAGTAATATGTAGGTAATTCGATTTTGGAGATACATCTAAAACGACAGGGAAAGGATCAGGGGTTAAGAAGTTACGAAGTCGATTTTATCGAGGATACTTAAGATGACGATCAATTCATTTGCTATCGCGTGTCCATAAGACATTCGAAAATTAAATGTAACTATATCTAAATGGAGAATCATCGCTGATCCCCGTTACGTTAAGAGCGGCTTGATCCTTCAGCGGTACCTCCATCTCACCCCGAAGAAAGCCGACCCTTCCTTCTCCCTCGGATTGTTTCTCCGGTGGCTGGGTTATGTGCTTTAGGATAACGTTCCACGATCACGCGATGACTCTCCACCTTTTAACCCCGTAGCTAAGTACGTTTTAGTTACTCCCTCGGTGAAAGCTACCCTTCCCTCTTCGGCCCTCTCACCCTTTCTCTGTCTCCATTCCTCTTTGCCGCCTAATACCCTCGGCTCGTACATCTTCATTCGCTCTGGTGTTTCTTAAACACTCAGATTTTATCACCAGGCGTAACGTGTTTCGCTCGACAGAACATCATTCGTGAAACGTCGGTCTTGCGTTAAACGAGAAACATTTTGTTATTAACGAACACGCCACGGCGAATCGCCGAATTTCGTGTTACGTTCCGGTAGAATTAATTGTTTCCAGAAGTGTAATTCCATTCATCGTAAACTCAAGATAAAAGTATGGACCGTAGAAGATCGCGCGAACGTTTCTATATAGTATAAAGAAGATAAATGAGTATAGTAATTCTGGAAATATTGTTTTATAATTATAATTATTGAAGAAATTTTCGACTAGTTTGTAAGTATAACCGAGAAGAAAGTAAAAAATTGTATCAAGCACGTATATTTAAAAATCATCTACAATGTAGTTCGTCCGACAATTATTATTGATTCCGTTAAAAAGTAATTTTCATGTAACTCTTGGTGGTTAAAATTATTATCTAAAACCGCGTTGTCACGCTTTCATCTCTCCGGAGAATAGAGTAACGTCTACAATATTCAAGCCAGCCGATATCTTTGACCTATAAATTATAATATGTAAATCGCGAGAGAGCAGAAACGCGGAAGGGTCGGCGCGCATCCGCGGGGGTAGATAGGTGGTCTGGCAATTACAGAGGCTTACTGCACATACAAATTGCTAGATACTCTCGCCCTGTCTCTTTCTCTCTCCGTCCCTCGTAGCCTGTTTCTCTTTGGTATCGTTTACTATCCCTACTGTTCCTCGATAGGAACGAAACAACCCCGCAGCAGAACCGACGCAAGAGACGCAATTATATGAAAGCAGCCACTAGAAGGGTATTACCAAGGTAAGAAGTCAGCTTGATGGCTTTACTCGTAACTTGGTTTTTCACTCCTATTCCTCTTCTCCTAATTCTCTTCTCCATAAACCACTGTAGAGAGTCTTTACCACTATAGAACCTCGCTACTTCGTCTTCCCCATAAACTTCTGTTGGGAAAGCGTTTTAACACGACACATCGGTAAACACCGCGCGTTTCCTTTCGCATGCAAAGTAAGAAGATTTACATTGGAATGTTACTTACTTAACAACTTCGGATCTACAAAACGCGATAACTGAACTTTTTATTGTCCAAGCTTTATGTGCTCAGTACGAAGTTAATAAATCAAAAATGACGTGGACAAAACTTCGTTGAAATTCGGGTCAGGTCCTCGGTCAGGTCCCTGTCTTCGTTCTCTTGACTACGTACAAAGCGAGACGAAACGTAAGTGGAGGAGGAACGAACGACGCAACGAACGAGGAGACAGAGCGACAGAGGATGAGGAAGAGCAGGGGAGGTGGGTAGATGCCGGACAAATTATCCACCTTCCTCTCCCTTCCTCCCTTCTCAGCTTTCCAAACCATCCAGCTATCCAGCCATCCAGCAAGACTCCCTTCCCGAGAATCCCACGCCCTAATAGCTGCCTATGGGGACGAGATGGGACTCCCGATGGACTGGACGAAATCTCGTGCATTGTACAATCCAACCTCTCGCCCCTCTGGCCACCTCTCTTCGCTCTACCTTCCCTCTTATTCCGCGCGATTCCAAGAGTAGGGGAGAGTATATTCCTTCCAATTTGCCAGGGTTGTGCATTCGACGGGAGATCGAAAGATATTGGTCGAAAGATTTCTTTTTCTTCTTCTCCTCTCGCTTCTACTCCCTTCGTCGTCGCGCCGTCCGTCGTTCACCTCTATTCTACTTTTCTTTCCGCGTCAATGAACATCGTTCGATTCTTCATGGCCATAGACACAGGTGAATTGTTATTACCGTCTTTTTAGCGGCGAAGTCTTTTTACCGACTTTTCGGCGGGCATTGGTAAACACAATGCTCTTAATGAACCGAGCGGTTTCCTTAATTCCTGACAAAGTTCACTTTCAAAAGAACATTCGCGATGCGAATCCAGAATCGCCGGTCGTGGATGCTATTGTTGGAAACAGGGACGCGAACTTATTGAGTTCAACGAAAAGAAATCTTCCTCGTTTTGAAATTAAACGGGAAATGCTTGCCGTTTTATATAAAAGAAGAACGTTCATATACAATACGTTTCATGACTCTATTTGATAATTTCGGTCCAGCAAATTGTACAATAGCATCCTATGAAACAATCTTTTAATTACAATTTAAATCTCAATTCTCCGACGATTCAGTTTATATCCTCAATTGAAATTAAATGTATTCGTAGTTGGGTAATGAAATTTTCGCTCAGGGGTAATAACACTCGGGCGGTAAAAGTCATGTATCTGAGAGAAGCTGTGAGCGGTATACTGGCGGAGCACGAACGTATCAAGAAAAATACAGAGAATGGAGAGGCAGCGGTGTAAGAACGAAACTCCGCCGATGAAGCCAGGGAAATACAACGCGGACGGGGGGCGATTGTAGAGCGAAGGCAACAAGAGGGATCATTTGAGGAAGATGTAACACGAGACCGTCTACTCGCTACGGCTCATAAAACTGCGCGTTTTATGCTGATGGCCCACGTCTCGGAGACATTGGCACGAAGAAAAGGAGGGGAGTACACGGAAAAGGAGCGAAGAATAGGAATACACGGACCGGCGGCGGTCTCTGCTCTCGTACCGTCGATGAGGGGTGGCCAAGGAAGCGCGACCGGCCAAGTGAAAAAACGATGTAGGCCGATGAGACTCGTTTCTCTTGAGATAACTTTGGCATCGGAGCCAAATGCAAACGGCAGGTGTTATCACGTATAAGAGCGGAAGGAAAATAGAACGAATCTAGATTCGAACTGTCGGCGATCCATTGCTCCCATCGGTGCTCCCTGCCTGCGTATTATTTGCTGGAACCAATCGGGAGCAAAATACGAGTCTACGTGCTGTTCGATGGACCATCGTTTGCCTGACAATGAGCTTGTGATTTTTAAATTCCTTCGAGAATCCCTCCCTAACGCTGTTACGTCAGATTATACGCGATCGTTGATTACTTATACGTGATTTGTCCTGAAATCGATAACAGATTCGCTGTTAGGCAAGTCATCAAAATCTGGTGAAATATTACGACAGGAAAGAGGTCGTACTGCGAACAAATGCATCGGTATTTCACATGGTGTGCTTTTCGCGAACGACATAATCACGGAGCGAGATTAATCGCCTTAACAAGCTGAAACGGAGGCTTTAAAAAGTCCCGTAAAACCGCGCAGTCATCTCGTGGCCGACACTTAACGCATTACCGTTCTTATTTTGCAACGTTTATTCCCGGCAAAAGGAACAGGATTTTGTCGGCTTTATTTCGGACAACGTTAATTGCGATGTACCAGCACGTGCGGAGAAGGCATCGAAATACAAAAAACAGAGCACTCGTGTTTCTAGCCAGGGGTGGAAAGAAATTAAGTGGATTAGTACCCTAATGGCGAGGCAGCGGTAAACTGAAATAAATATGGTGCTCACGAGGAAACAGGTTGAATGTAATTATGGAACTAAGCACTTAGTAATTTCCGACAAGAGGAAAGATATTAAACGCGCACGCGTAAATCCATGTAGAAAACAAATTAAAGATAAAGCGAAATTAGGCGAGCGAAGTTAAAAGCTCATCGAGTAGATTTTGTTACAAAAACCAGTACAATTACTTCGTCCAGGACAATCATTTCTTATGCGTCTCGTGGATACAAATATTGAATACGATCGTCGGGAGAAACAAATTCGTAGTAGAGGAGGGAAATGAGCAGAAGGAGACGCGAAACGAAGAAGGACACAAGGAAATGGGGGCGAGCCGTTAAAAGTTGAAGACGCGTTTGCACGGAACTGTTTCATTGTAATAGCCAAAGTTCTCGGTCGCTTCGTTCGCTCCGGCCTTTATTATTTTATACTCCGCGGCATCGCGGCACACGGAGATAACAGAAATTATACTTACGTTTCAAAGTGAAACAACCGTTAGCGGGCGACGCGAAACTTTAATTCGCGACGATACCGTCCCGCTCGATTTCATCTTCGCGAGCATCCGGCCTCCCTTGGCCGCCAGAGCCTAATTCCGAAGGGATTCATGTTCCACCCCTAATTTCTTCCAACGGTTAGGGAGATACGAAATTACCACCGCGTAACCCATAACCTGGCAGCGAGAAATTTGGAAAATTTCGAAATACGGCCTGGCCGACATTCAGGAAATTATATCGCTAATGAGACCGGCCGCAAAGGAATACGTTCAGCCTTACGTCTCGCCAGTAATTACGTCTTGGACCCTTTCAAAACCTCAAGACTCGTTAAGGTAATACCATTCGGGTCGCTAAATTGTTGTCCTCAATTCATTCTATTCTTAAAATATCGTGCGAACTATGATATTCGCAAACCAATTTATGGAATACACAAATCTGAAGAAATAACAAAAAGGAGTTTGTCTATTCTTCTTTCGCTAACTTTGCTCTTATTATTGACACAAGTTCCTTCTTTACAATCGCAAATTAACTCTATCGAACGGAATTCTAACGTTTCTACGACATGACTAGTTATAAATGCGAATACTAGGTACAATGCTCCTGCGACATAACGCACGAGTGCTTTCGACACACGTGTTACAGACCGAGCCACGAGATACAGTACGGCACAAACGTATATAATATAGTGGATCTGCGTTCTCTGTAATGTAATCATGGCTGACACAATTAATCACTGGACCATCCAACCCTGCCGAATCATTAACGATCGGGACACTTGGTTTCACAGGGGGATGCGTTTCGCATCTCTCCACGGCTGAAAATGCATTGTATTCGTGCACGAAATACAGATGCATGTGCGAAGACACAAACGACACACGAATGCACTTACGCATCCGTTCCATCGTCGAAAAAAAGGAAACCGAAATGTTTGGGAAAATGCAAGCAGAGATTAATGCATTCGAATTCAAAGGGAATGTTCTTTCATGATTTATTGAGCCATATTAAAAATAATGAGCCTCCGTACATATTAGATTAATTACACTTTTCATGTATATTTTGTAAATTAATTAAGAATTTGGTTGCTTTTTAAGGCATTTGCTTCCTTGCTGGCAATTCGCGTTTAACTGTTTCGAAATTTGTGAACCGTAACCAGGAGATCGCTTGAAAGGTGTTCGTTACACGGTTTTCATCACGAATCTCCTGGCGCAACACAGGTCCGAGATTAATTGGCCGCGTTATTTCTCGTTAGTCTATTGTATGATAAAGCGACTCACTCGTCGGCCTCTATCATTGGCAGATTGGTTCCGATATCACGAAAATCTACATAGTTCGGAGATGCGTCGTTGTGCACACAGATTATGTGGAACAGAGAGAACGCAGGGCACGGCGCGATGCTGGAAGCGCGGTCCGATCGATGAGGAAAAGGGGGAATCGCAGACATCGCGGCAGCGAACAGCCAGAGTTGATTAACTTCAGTTGATCGAGCAAGTTGAAAAACCTTCGATACGATCTTTATCGTGTACTATAAAGAACTACGATCCGGTAATTAATTATACAGAAGAGGAAGTTCACGGAAGTTTTCTCATTTTTTCTGTGAAAAGATTTCTTCCCTTCCAATGTTCCGTCCGTCTCCCTTTCTTGTTCCACTCCACCGTCCCCTTCTCACTCTCTATGAAGTTGGAGCACGATCGTTATTTTTAATAGAGCCTCTCAGCAACCAACAACTAGACCTCGGCACACGCACCGAAATTAATTTTCTGCTGTAGCTACTTACATACAGTTCGGTCCTGTTGCTCTTCTCACTGACTCGCGATGTTTCAAGAAGAGAATATTAGACAGATAACATTTTATATTTTGTTTTCTTTGCGAAATTACGCTTCAGCCGTCACGAACTCCTTCGACTTTTATTCCTTTATCTTTATTTTCTCATTCTTCGAGATTAATTGTAAAGTAATGAGGACGGAGCTGTATACGAGCGCGAAAATCATGACAGTTAAGTACCGACGCAGACAAACAGTGTCTCCGTCAGTGGAAACCGGATATAGCACATTGATTATATAGCGAGAAAAAGATGGAAAGCGAAGGAGAAGATAGCAATAATAAGGGATCCTTGGAGAACAGCCAAAATGTCAGCCACACTATAGTCGTTACGTGGAACATCCTAAACCCAGACGAACGTCGTAGGTGTGAATGAGCATTTTATTTTTCGACTTTGTACATATGTATATACATCGATTCCATACAAATAAATATTTCAAATATTTTCATCTCCTTTCGTACACCTCCATTTTACATCACATTACCATTCCTTTGGTTGATCATTCCTATCGCAGCGTCCTTATCCCCCGTGCAAGGTGGATATGAACGTTATTACGTCACCAGATTTTATTTTATAATCGCCTTCACCCTGAAAATTTTTACGAGCTCACAAATTGCCGCACTTTCGCAATTTCAAGCAACAAGACAGGGAAACAAGATGTGTGCCAAAAATACGAAATGACAAATGACAGTGGATATAATGTCAGGGCACTAAGAAGAGAAAAAGGAGCTCGTGATAGAATAGAAGCATATGAAACTTCAGGAAATGTTGGTATTATCATAATAACGGCTGAAGCCATCATCTTTTCTGCGTCTACTTTCTGAAACCACCATAGGCGCAACCCGCTACGCTACTCCAAGCTCTTTTCTCTCCTCAAGAGTGCTTCAGAAACTGGAGCCTAATAGCTCTCGCGTTTTGTACATTCACAAATTTGAAATGATAATTCTCCCGTGGGTGTGGCAAACCTTCAGATCATTTGCACCCTTTCACCGACGTCTTATTTTCCATCCCTTAGACTTGCGTTCTACCAACCACACCGTAGCTCGATTGTGAGCCCCGCAAAAAACTCACGACGAAATACTTTCTCTGGACGTTTGTCAAACGTCTCGAGCAAATGCCTTTCCACCCCACGATTGAAAACAACTGTACTCCCACCACGTTATGAACTCTTACGATTCATCATTCGACTGCGATTTTTTTATGAAAAATTAAATATCTGCAAATATCGTTTAAAGGAAGAAATTCAAAATCATAAAATGCTGTAATGCGTACTTTAAATTAAATGTATTGTATATTTTGCACATCGTACGTACTGTGTAATTGTTTTAGACGTTTAAATATTCCATGTTAAACATAAAAATTCGTAATTCATGCAACATGTAAGGGAGCCAAGAAATGAAAATTTTAAATCGTAAGATATGAATAATTTTACACGTACCAGTAGTTCCCAATCAGTGTTATTTACTAAAACCAAAATTCCTGGCCGCCTGTCGAAACGAAACAATACATGTTATCTTATAATTAATTATCGGTTTAAGGATGTATTGGCTATATAGTCAATCCCAAAAGTTTATCTACCTTAGAAAAATACATTTCCTATAATTAAAAAGAAATCAGACGTCGGAAGAATAATGCTAATAATAAATAACTACGTGCTAAAAAGTATAGAAG